GTTTCGAGTTTTGAAGTGTGATTTAAAACACATGATAAACAACAACAACAAAAACCCACAAGTTATGTAGGTAAGATTTATTAACTTGGCGACGTTTCGAGTTTTGAAGTGTGATTTAAAACACATGATAAACAACAACAACAAAAACCCACAAGTTATGTAGGTAAGATTTTATTAACTTGGCGACGTTTCGAGTTTTGAAGTGTGATTTAAAACACATGATAAGAAACAACAACAACAAAAACCCACAAGTTATGTATTGTTCGTTTCAGAATATTCGCGCAAAGTACAACAAATGGGTATCTGCTCATAGTCGTCCCGAATTTAAAACTAACACACTAGAGGGAAGACAGATTATTAACAACACCCACCGCCAACTTTTGAGCTATTCTTGTCTGACCGAATAATGGGATTTGACCGTTACTCTTATAGCCCCAAAGTACGGAGGGTGTTTTCTCGGAGACGGGCTGAGAATCGTAAGTTCTTTACATAACATAGAAGGTTGAAAGGATTATTTTTAATAAAAAACATGGAACAACAACAACAAAATTATCTTGAGCATGAAGAATGAAAGAACATAGTCAGGGGATTTCCTCCCGTACTTTAAAGAGAGGGTTGAAAACATTACTTCTAATAAAAAACGTGAACAACAAAAAAAAGAAGAGAGAGAGAGAGACTTGAGAGTGAAGAATGAAATAATCACTATACACTTGCTGAGGTTTACATTCATACAGAAAACACACTGATTAGAAAAAGTGACGGAACCTAAAGGCATATCGTTACGTCGTACACGTTCAGGAAAAGCACGTGATCGAACACTTTGGACTTGGGTCTGACCTCTAGCTGGCCTCAGCTTTCAACGATGAGGAAGTGAATTCTAAAATGACCTCGTGTAGTCCAGTATATAAACCAGAGTTTTGACCACTGTTACCGAACAGCCTGACAGACTGAGCCCGTGATCGATTTTCAGCCAAAAAGAAAGACTCGAAACTTATTTCTTCTTGACTTGTGCTGTTAGACAAAAGAGTGTGTGTGAGGTAAGCTGAAATTTAATTATAGTTGAAAGTTTATTATTAATATAAACTTCGTTTCAGAAACGTTACAAAAAGAAGCAATCGAGCGGCAAATATTTTGAATACACATTGAGTATAAGTCCGTAAGTGTTTGCGGAGAGTTAACCAAATCAGTAGCAATTAAACTGGGTAACAAATAAATGTAACTAGGGCGTAATAAAATATCAAAAATGTTCAGAATCGCTGAAGAAGAAAAAAAATAATTATGTGGATATTTGTTTGACCCTTAAATTTTCCCTTTTAGTTCCCTGAAATGCCGTTCGGGTTGAAAATACCAAATATTGACATTTTAAAAACTGAAATTAAGATGAGAGACACATGTACACGTTTGATATATGACAGAAGATTCAGAAACACTCTGTTTACATTGTGCTTACTTGCTAACCAAGGAGCTGTTCCTGTTCATTAAAAGTTACTTTCCAGTACTTTCTTTAATATAATATAAGGATAGACTAAGAATTGTCGCCTTTACTCCAAACTATCTGGTTATATTTTTACATTATTTTAGTTACCCGATTCTTCTCGAATTTTATATAAGCTACACTTTAACAATCAAAAGTTGAAAAGGGGAATTTAATATATAACCAAGGAAAATGTTAGTTTTAACAAGATGATTTAAAGAAAATTGTCTGCAGAACCATCGTGCTTGTTAAGAACTGATGAGTGAAAGTAAAGAAGAAAGTATGGTATGTGTAGTGCATCCAGTGCCGACGAGGCCTTTCGCTTAATACCAAGACTGATCAGGCCGTCTGGAATAAGTTTGTTTGTAATCAAACACAAAGGGCTATCTGTGGTCTGACCACCAGGGGTATCGAAACCCGGATTCTAGCGTTGTGAGTCCGAAGACATACCGCTGTGCCACTAGGATAAGACACACTCTATTGGTTGAGACGCTGCTTATATTAAGCAACAATAGGAAGTGTTTTTGGCGTGAACTTCGTTGAGTTGATGAAGAGTAATTATTCCCAATTTGACATGGAGTCATTCACAAGTCTAAATTAGAAACTAATAACATAATATTATTTATTTTAACACTAATTTTTTATTGTTATGTAAGGTAACTTGAACTAACTGTATTCATCATTCCGAAGAACAAGCAAACTAGTAAGCTAGTTTTTGTGTTCTAGTAAGTTTAATAGATTCAGCACTTACTAAAGTACGGAGTAAAAGGTGTGGATATGCGAGGCACTAAATTCACGCGCACAAAAATCCAATAATAGGTTCAGTACTTACTAAAGTACGGAGTAAAAGGTGTGGATATGCGAGGCACTAAATTCACGCGCACAAAAATCCGATAAAAGTAATAGTTTTGAGTGCACTTAATTTTTTAGCTAATTTTAGAGAACATATAGGAAATGATTCACTACACTAAGATTCGTTATCAGACAGTCTCAAAAATAGCCCTGATACACATCCTCTGAACGTACTCCACAGTCCTGATACACATTCTCTGAACGTACTCCACAGCCCTGATACACATCCTCTGAACGTACTCCACAGCCCTGATACACATTCTCTGAACGTACTCGAGTTCATCAATACCCATAACGGGCTTAAAACAAAAAATAAAACAATGTTAACCTTGACATGATGATCATGAGTTTAAACTGATATAACTTTTAACCCGGCACTAGAATAAATTATTTATGAAAGTTCTAAGATGTCTCTGATGAGACTTCGGGGTGTGAGAGTACTAACAGTAATGACTCGTTAATGAAGAACGTTTGTATGGTGTAAGATAAATTACATCAACAATCCTATAGCAACAGAGACTAAACCATTTGTATCTTTTTGTCTGTTTAATGCATTAATCAGGATTTGGAATATAACCATCTGTGTATTCTGAATTAGATATATAAAAAAATACCTCGGTATTTTAATAAGACGTAACGTAGACAACATTCTATATTACGAAACAACAAGTAAAAGCTTGGAATGGTCTATTCCTTCATTGGGGAGAGGGGGGGGGTCTGTGAGCTAGACTCGTTTTGGAGAATTCCACTCCTTATCAGTGACACTGGACACTATCACCAATGAAATATCAG